ACACACACACACACACACACACACACACACACACACACACACACACACACACACACGCACACTATCACACGTGCGTGTTCGCCGACTGTCGTTCGGTTTAGTGAAACCGTCGTGTTTTTTTCTCTGACGATGCCTTGATTGATATATAGTGATTGTGTATAAAAAAAAGCGAGCGCTAAAACCACCCGTGTATCTTGTAATGGCCTACGATTATTCGGTTATTTATTTCGTCGCAGTTACTGCCGCTGCGTTACTATGTGTAAATGTGTAATGGACACCATATCGTACCTACCGTAACCAACGCGTGCAGCTGCTATGAGTGTTGGTACGTGGTATATGTTTCGCCTATACATGTATATGACTCATGATGTCGTGTGCTTATCGTGCTTCAACGTCACAGCGGCCTGGTTGTGAAACCGCCTACGGCAATATAGCCGCCGATTTCCTCTTGTAATAAAGAAAAGTAAATACAGAAGGTTAAAATATGACAACCTAATCGTGGGATGAGATGAGGGGGGGGGATGAAAGTCTTATATCATCAATTATTGCTAGTAATGTCTAAATCAGGAGTAAATAGTGAAACCTTTTCAGAATTTTTAATAGTCAATGTGAGTTATGAAAGCCCACGTAAGAACAAGAGGCCGGTGGTCAGAAACTACGCCCGTACTCCTGGCGCGATTGCTAGATAGCTATAGCCAATCGGTGTTGTGATAAAACACTCTAAAACACAATGATTAGTAACGAAGTGTCGCAACGTCGAAATTGGGGTGTGAACCCCGGGAGAGCTTGACCGACTTCGCAACAATAACCAATAACCAATAATCAATAATAAATATCCAATAATCAATAACCAATAACCAACAACTACGTGGTCATCTCGCTAAGACGGATGGGTCAAGCGGATCAGCTACGCGCAAACGCCACTGTTATTGATTGTGTATCGAGTGATTTATAGCCACTTATAGTCACGTCGGTTTGTTACCATCTATTTTGTTATTCCTGTTTTACGATGGGTCGTATAGCGAAAGCACAGCGTGGGAGTAGAAGTTGGCCGTTAATGTGTATGTAAGATTAGAGCTGCATTCCGTTCTGTCCGGCAGCTGAAATCGACTTTGGAAAGCACGAATACGCGTATAATTACACACGAGAGGGCAGCACCGACCCGCATATGGGAGTGCTGCCCGGTTGCAGAGCCCTTGTAAATATAAAGTGTCGCTGTGAATGACGGACGGAAATGCTATTGTATGTGACAAGTATAATCGAACTGTGTTTCACTGCGTTTATTTTGCCCATCTTAATGTCCGTGCTAGAATTGAGCGAAAATTGGAGTTGGATCGTGTTTCTATCTATACTAACTGTTCAGGGCGAGATAGAATGCTAACGGATGTTTCGGTTCTGGCATTTATATATATGTTACAGTATTATTTGTGTCTTGCCAAGTTGTTAATATTATTTTTCTATAAGTTGTGTGCAGGTTGGCTTGCAGAGATTTTGTCTTGATATATCTTTAAAAGTGCTAGTCGTTGCTAAACGTGCTAAATCAAGCCCCACCTGGCTACATATAACGGTGGAAAAATACCTTTAGAATACTGGTAAAAAGTTCAACACTTTGACATATTGTTTAACTGTTTGTCAGGTGATAGCTAACAGGAACTTCAATGTTAGCTAATCCTATATGCTTTAATTGACCGTTAATCTTCCTACAAATTATTATAGAATTGATTCATTCTGTATTTACGTTGTAACATGAGAGTGTGTTTGCGGTGAAACATGTCGATTTTCATCAGTTCAAATCGAATCAGAAGTGCCGTTGCGCGGAAGAAAGTTTTGGAAAAAATATTCGAGAAAGTTATTGTCAACGCCGCTGAAAGCAACTGTAATTTTAAGTTTGAAATATGCATCGATTATTATTTAATAAAATTCTAAGTAATCATCCGAGTCTCTTTTCAATCAGATTTTCTACCAGCTCTTTCGATACGCTATTCTACCGGGTTAGGGAATGACTCAGTTATGACAAGCGCAGTGCACGAACAAAGGACAAACTAAAGAGGGAGACAATAAATGGTTAAGCTGGCATGCGAAAGCGTAATTTAATGTAAAATTTTAAAATTAGCTTACTGAGAGAGCGATGAATAAACAGCGTGCAGAGTTAATTGTGCATGTTAATTTATGCATCGGCGTGGGATGATAAAAAAAATCGTGAAAAAATCATTCATTTAGCAGAAGAGCCAATCAGAGCTCATTCCAAAGTAGAATTGTCTTCATTAACGTTGTTAACGTTGTGAACGGGAACCGTGCTCGTCGCACATTTCCCACTATCAACACAATTTCGATCGTTTATACGAACTGGAGTGTTTGAAACAGCGGACACATTATACAAAGACTGAACGACATAAAAATGAGATCTAAAGAATACTATAAAAAAAGAATCGTATAAACACTTTTAGGTTTCAAGTCTTTTTAATTTGCCGCACGCATTAGTTTGACAGTTTAATTTTTTAAAGTCAGTACTTGTGGTCGAACTTGTAGATCGGGATATGCGCATGCCCAATAATTGTCTAAATTAGGTAATTAATTTTTTGTAGAAATCATACTTAGTAGTGAGCTGATATCCCCGAGTAGTTGGATGCTAAAAATGACTATCGCCATGTCTCATTTGAATGTGAGATTTCGCCATGAAGACAGATAGGTCTTTAAAATTGTACGTTCAGAAAGATTCTGTCCCGGGTACCCCACATCAGCACATTTTTAAAGCGAGTCTTTGTGATAGGCATTTTACATACGAAAATACACCGGAATATCGCCTGCGCTATTAGAAATGTATAATTTCAACAAAATACCATTCATTCCGGCAGATATTGCGCATGCGCGAGCGCTAATGCCAGACGTTTTTTGCAAAATCGGCAAAAATCCTCAATGTTGGCTAACAGAGCAAACGCATGCCCCGTGTAAATTATACGTTTTACGTAGATAGCTGACGTTCCTGATGAGCTTAATGGTAAACGTGTGGGTGGCAGCGTATGATTTTGTGTCATCCTCTGCTATTTATATTTCTCTAAACCACTCATGGTTCACTCACACACATATTCGTTGCGTCATAGGCTTAAGTTCGCTCTCCGCCCCCACAACACGCGCACGCACACACACGCGCGCGCGCGCGCACACACACACACACGCACACACACACACACACACACACACACACACACACACACACACACACACACACACACACACACACACACACACACACACACACACACACACACACACACAC